CAAATGTTCTCTTTAAAAAAATCCACTGACTATTTTTGCTAGTTGTTCTATTTGCTTACCCTAAAAGTTGACATGCAGAACAGGTGTGAAATTGAGAGGTCAGTCATTTTCAAAGGGCATGGCAATAGTTGGGAAGATTGAGTTTCTTACACTTTATACCTTGTGATGTTTGTTGGTTTTTAAGCTACTGAGCTACTTTATCTGAAAACATGTCTTATTCTATTTATTATCACATTAACCAGTGAATTAAGATATGAACTACTATTTCAATGTGTAATCTATATATTACTTCCCATGAAATCAAATAGAGAGAATGTTTTCTGCTAAGAAGAATTAATAAATATAGAACTCAATTTAATTTTTAAGAGGAATGAAAAGAAAGGATTATCTCTCTTCCTCTCTTCTCAAATCCACTGTACCACTCTGTTTCACCTCTTTGCATTCTTTCTGCATTGTCTTTGGTAGTTTACTAAAATGTCCTAACTCTTTTCTGATTAAGCTTATTCATTTTAAAATTAGACCTCAGTGTATCCTGTCCACATTTCAGGGACATTTCAGGGACAAGACAGGAAGGAGATAGCACTGCAATTCAATTCTATCCACAAGTATTGACTAAGGATTCCTACAAACTAGACCCTGTCAGGTTATAGGAGGGAAAAAGAAATCATTGTTTCTGTCCTGAAGAAGGAGGAAGTCCAGTTAGGATAATTAGTCAAATGTCCAATGCAAGCAAGAAGATTAGTGTCATAAGAGATCTGAAAATGGAGCAAGTACACTAACTGAAATAGTATGAGACCTCAAAAGGGTGCAGACTTGAGCCGTATAAAGAAAATGTACAGAGTTGGATAGGGAGAAAGGAGTAAAGATCGTGAAAGTGACCTCTACACAAGGGGTGTACATGAGCAGTCACAGAGCAACTGATGAGCATGGCATGTTCTAAGGACAATATGATTGGCTTGAGTGACAGAGGACTTGAAGCAGAGAGCAGTGGGAAATAGGCTGCATAATTCAAACAGGGTGATAAGAAGGACAGTACAGATGCACTAATTCCAACCAAGACCAGTAATTTAATTAAGCATTGCTACAAAATCAGATCTTGGAGGCATCTCAGCCAAATAAAAATAATTTCTCTGTAATCCATTATTGATTTGCCCATACCACTTTTTAATTTATTATCATGAATATAAAGAATTGGACATATTAGAAAAGGACTTAGAAAAATTTTTCTTAAATTTTCACATTACATGTGGTTTCACATTTGAAAAATAAAGGTAATATATACATATTTAACAAATATAGAAATGACACAAAAATATTGAACTTTAAAAAAGTTGTTTGTTTAATAAGGTTTAACACACTACAATAATGACATTTCTTGTAAAACATGTGATTGCTAAAAGCTAGGCTGAAAAATCTAGTGAAAATTTAATCCTCTGTTTAAAGAAGTTTGGATAAAGTTATAGAAGCATTAGATTAATGAACAAATCTATCTGAAATGATGAAAACTAAATTATGTTGCCATGATTTTTATTATAAATTATTTCTAAAAATAGAAAAATAATTAATTTAATCAAATAAATAAAAATAGTTTTTTTAGCTATTCTCTTCATAGAGATGTATAACTGTGGAGATGATGGAAGAGCACGGCCTGTCATATTGTTTTCTTACTTTGTTGCAGAATTTGAGTCGATTTTATTCTTCAATTCCACAAAAACTGGCTAAAGCAGGATTCAAATAACCAAAGATAAGTCTTATTGCATAGTTCAATTTCTATATTCACCCAGTGAAAATTTGAAAGAAAGGTCAGAGATCATGATAACAGAAATCAGTAATGAATTGGCCCTGGAAATGGTGACCCTCCTGCTTGCTTGCATCTTTACTAGATCTCCTGCTAGTTTTTTATTGTTTGCTTTGTTTGTGGTTCTGATTCATTTATTTGCAAAAAGTGAGCCTAATAAATAAGACAACAGGCCTGTGATACAAAATAATATTCATTACTAAAAAAAATTGTTAAGAACATACCATGAGTGCTATTTGGGAAAAATATTTTATTTATTTCTCCAAATTTGGTGTGGATATTTTAAAGTTTTACATTTAACCAGCAGACTGGTTTAAGATAACAAATAAAAGATAATCCTGTTTCACAAAATTGTGAC